GACTTCTGACGGACCTCACTCCAGACTTCAAACTGAACAGTATTTAGTCACCCACCCCCACGGCCAAAAATATGCCCTTTGAACCCGTATAAACGTGTTCAGGGTCGGTTTACCTCCCCGAAAGTGACTCCGCCCTTCGGCGTAGCCTCGTTTGAGTTCCTCCCCGCCTAAAGGCAGAGAGTTCAACCGATCAGCCGTTCAGCCGGTCGCCCGACTTCAGACTGAACAGTATTTAGTCACCCCCCGCCACGAGGGCATCATGTGGCACAAGGCCGGTTTAACGTAGGATCTCCGAGCCCGTGGGCTCGGCCAAAAATATGCCCTTTGAACCCGTATAAACGGGTTCAGGGTCGGTTTACCTCCACGAAAGAGATTCCGCCCTTCGACGTAGCCTCGTTCGGGTTTCTCCCCGCCCGAAGGCAGAGAGTTCAACCGATCAGCCGGTCAGCCGGTCGCCTGACTTCAGGCTGAACTCCCTGCTTCCTCTTGAGGCGCAATATTTATTACGTATGGAATAGTCCATTATGTTATTATGGGTAAGGTCCATAACAATATATATATATATATATATATATATATATATATATATATATATATATATATATATATATATATATTTATGATGGACTCTCCCGTCGTTTTCGACATACGAGTGTGTTTCAGTTCAGTTTTTATGTTTATGTTTCGTCTGAGAAAATCTTGTACGGGATTTGCAAACGAATCCACACGAAGGACATACTGAGGTGTTAACCATCATATGTATTAGCCCGAGATTTAGTGTTGGTTCTTAATTCTCTCAGATGGTTGAGACGATTCTTTTCAAAATTAGTTAGCAGCTGTTTCTCCAGTTTTCTTGGTTTTCAACGGCTAGTTCGAACTCCTCTATAGAGATGTTTGCAGCATTTAAATTGTATTTAAGTTTGTCCTTGAAACGTAACTAAAGACGGCCTACATTACGCTTACCATGAAAATGTTGGCTATATATGAGGATTTTCGGTATCCGATCATCACTCATTTTGATGACATGACCAGCCCATCTGAACTGTGATTGCATCAGAAAGAATTCAATACCACCGATACCACATTTGAAAAGATCAAGGTTAGAGATTTTGTCCTACCGTGTATAACCGCATACTGAACGAAGACAGCGTTTATGAAAAGCATCAAGTTGATTGATGTGTGTCCAGTATGACGTCAACGATTCTGACCCATAAAGAAGTGTGGTGAGAATGACTGCTCGATGGCCACTGATTTTTGTTTTCAGTGAAATCCCTGTGGAACATCTCATAGGCGATGTTTAAGCTTCCCAAAGGCATTGGTTGCTTTTGATATTCGGTTAACTATCTCGTCACCCAAAGAGACACTTGAATTGACTTGGCTTTCTAAGTAGGTGAATGATTTCACAAACAATAATGGGAATGATTGGAAAGGTATGGGCAGGTGGTTTTTGTTTTACACCCTTAATCGCTTGGGCGTAGGCCTTGGTTGATGGACAAATTCATTTTTCTTTATTCCTATGCTTAATCCGAATGTGTTGCAATCTGTGGAAAACGATTGATGAGTACTTGAGATTCTTCGATTGAGGTGGCTACGATCGTAGTGTCATCAGCAAACAGAAGGTCACTAATAATGCTTGCACGAGTCAGCGATTTTGCTTTAAAACGTTGATGGTTAAAGATGCCGCCACTTGTGCAGAATTTAAATTTCACACCCATGTCAAGATCACTAAAAGCATGACCGAAAAGAAGAAAGCAAAAAAGTAAAGGAGCCATGACACAACCTTGTTTTGTGCCATTTGTTACATCGAAGGCTTCTGAAAACTCCACATTAGAGAGAACAGTTGCTTTTATTCCTTCGTGAAACGTGATGATGACATTTAGCATCATTTCAGGTATGCCAAGCTTTTTGAGAGCACCACTGTTTAAAGTGTCAAACGCTTTGGTCAGATTGATAAAGACGGTATAGAGTTCATCGTTCTTCTCGCGAACTTTCTCAGCAACCTGACGAAGTGAAAAAATCATATCAATGGTTCCACATCCTGAACAAAAGCCACAGTGAGATTCGGGACAGATGTCGCCAATTAGATATTTGATCATTCTGTTGAGCGATAATTTTGCCAGTGATACTTAGAAATGAAATGCCACGGGAATTATCACATAGAACCTTTTTACCTTTGTTCTTGAACAGTTGTTTATGCAAGGATCTTTGTAGTCTTGTGGAACAGAACCAACATTCCATATGACTTTAAAAAGCTCAAGGAGTTTCTTAACCAGCGTTTTCCCACCAGATTTAAACATTTCGCGGGGAATAGCATCTTTCCCAGGGGATTTGTTCGAGAACAATTGCTTGATAGAATCCTGGATTTTCTTTGCATATATATATATATATATATATATATATATATATATATATATATATATATATATATACAACCATCACTCATTTGTGCGGAACAATCCGCGTATTTTATGACACATATAGGAGGGAGCCCGTAACAGTCGTGAAATCAAGATGTGAATAATAATAATAATATTTCATTATTTCGTTAAAATTGTAAAAGCATACGGCTGTATACAAATTACGAACATTAAAGAAACTTAAAGCAACGCCTAAACTACAATGTAATAAACTTGAAAGAATGCTGAACTGCTGTGTTATATCATTTCTCCAATATGTCAGTGAATGCTGGAAAATTTCTTCACAGATGAAGAAGAAACTTGAGGCAACAGTTATGTGCTTCTACAGAAGTATGCTGAGAATACCATGAATTGAACATGTGAGCAATGACGAAGTTTTAAGGAAAATGGGAACAAAAAGACTCTTGTAGTTAGAATATAAAAAATACAGTTGAAATTTCTGGTCAAACAATGAACAAAGATGTTTTGGTGAATGTTCTACTTACGGGACATAATGAAGGGGAGATAGGCAAAGGGAAACAATGTGTAAACTACATAACGAGGTTGTGTAAATGGATAGCAGAAGAGAGAGTGGCAGTGGGTAGTAATTGAACAAGCATAACTTAAGCGCTACAAAGGATAAAAAGTTGTTGAGAGCCATATCTTGAAAAAGAAAAAAAATCAGATTGAGACGATTTCAGGATCAATAAGGTTACAGAAATAAGAAATTAAATATATAACAACAGCTTAATACCAGAATACCCAAGTACATTTATCTATATAGTGTTACCAAAAACCCATGTGCAAATGAAAACTCCATCCGAGAATCAGCTTCATGGTGATCCATATAACCAAACTTCTTACGTTTCTATTGAATAGATCTAGCGGAATTAGAACTGAAATAGGACATGAACCTTCTTCAAGATACCAGAAAAATAAATATTTTCATGACCAGAAACCTATATATATATATATGTATGTATTTGATATAGTACAACTCTAAGAACTACTTGAAATAATAGGAAAGTTTAATTCACTTGGGAACGATATTCGAGCAATCTGTAACCTTATTGGACGCAAACAACCCGCAGGCGAATAGAGAATAAGTTCAGTGAATCCGCAAAAATAGAAAACGGACTAACACAAGAATGTTTTTTCGCGCCGGATTTATTTAACCTATACAAAGAAACGATACTAAGAGAACTAAATGACTTACATGTATTTATTCTTCGCAGACATAACCTTAGCAACACGGACGACACTGTGTTGATGGAAAGCTCAGAAAAAAAATTCAGTGAATTATTAGTCAAGAAAAAAAGAAAGGACTATTTATTAAATGTAAGAAGACGGAAAACATGGTTGTCAGCAAGAGACAACAAACACATTTGTTGTCTCTATTGATGACAACCTTTTGTTAAGAAACATATTGAGGTGTCAAAATGAAGCATGTACCAAATTTAACTGTCTGGATAGTGCCATAACAGAAGAAAACGTGGCACAGAAACCCAAATGCACATAGGAACAACGAAAGATGCTTTCTAGAAATTAAGCAAAATATTAAAAGATGGAAAAATATCGGTAGAAACAAAGTGCGCTGAATACGTTGATAAAGTATACGCGCACACTATATTTACTTATTAAAATATATAAATACGCGCATATACCTATCTATACAAAAATATGCTTCTATATCAACGCATACGTACACAAATGTTATATTTATGTATCCATAATTCTTATACATAATGTGAGTTTGTGAAAGAGAACGTGTTTATTTGCGTGCACGTGCGTGCAGGTTTGGTTGAAGCCGAACGAATTTAATTTTGTTAATTTTCTAAGATCCGGAACATTATTCTAGCTACCGGGGACAGTTTATGCTAAAATTCAGAAAAGCGCTTTCGTATTTTATCATTTGATTGCGTTTTGTCCATATATGGCATATCAATTCACGAAAAGTTCTTTCTTATGGCTTCTGAAAGCCGAAAGCGCTCAGATTAATGTTCAATTTCGCCGCGCACACCAGGAAAATGAAACGAACTGTAGAAAAATCAAAAGAAAAATCTTTCGTTTGTCTTCAGCAAAAACACACACACACACACACACACACACACACACACACACATATATATATATATATATATATATATATATAAATTCATAAAATCAAGGTGGCATAGAGGAAAGTTCATCAGAATCAGAATAATTACAACGAAATTATTTATAGAAAAGAGACAGGGGAGCTACGTTACGGTGGTGTGAAAGTGACTGAATCCGAGATGCCAGGTCCGGACTAATAACATTTCAAATTTTTCTTTAGATTTTTTTCAAGAATGTCCAAATATATAACAAGAGCACCATGTATATATATATATATATATATATATATATATATATATATATATATATGGTAATCCGTATGGATAATTCCAAAGAATCCAGAGAGCTCAATTTTTTTAAGAAAATGATACATACCGAAGGAAAATAGCAAGACAGGTTGTTGAAGTATTTTTGTTTTGTTTTTTCAAGAGATTTTTGTTTTCAAAATCGTATTGTTAATATTAATGCATGTAATAAAGCATAATGAATGTATCTTAATATACTCACGGTAGATATAAGCTCACCCTTGTAACTACTCCAGATGGAAATCCTTGAATGTGAAAAGATGAAAAAGTTAATTGGACAGCATGGTTTGACTCGTGACATGAGATGAAATTTTATTGTTTTATAATAGCTTCTTACGATATTGTTTGATGATTGCGGAAAAAACGCCGAGTGTTGTATCATGACGGTCATCCTCTTAGTCGTATTTTCAGTGGCATTACACAGATTTTCGAATCCAGTCTTCCTGCAGCGTTTTTCTCGCTTTTCACGTAAAAAGCTTCCGATCCTTATAAACAATGACTTTAAAATCAGTCAATAACGTTACCATGGTTCAGTTGTACAAGCAAAAAACAAAGAGCAAACAACGTTTTTGTTTTTTAAAGAATTAATGAAGCATGAAAATATTCTTTCTTTCTTTCTTTCTTTCGTCCTTTCTTTCTGCTGCCTCTGATACATTCTATATCTTTCTCTCATCTTATCAGTTTATTTCCTTTCTACTCCATATAGAGTCCTCTCCTTTTTTTCTCTTTCTTTACTTTGGTATTCTATTCCTATTCATTCTTCCATTTTTTTCCCTTTTGTTTTAATGGGAATTCACTTTAGATTAAATCTCTTTGGAAGTACGCTGTACGAAACCAAGACTCACGGATCAGCTTTTCAGAAATAGAGCTCATGCTATTGTTCTACCAATCTTTCTAGTTAAGGAGGCAAGAAGAAACTTCAGAAAATGCTTATTTTACCAATAACTGAGATATTAGCTTTACAAATGTCGAATAAAAATTATTAAACTTATGACATTCATTTGTATGATACAGAATTATATAGAATTTTGCACTTGTTGAATATATTTAAACAATATCATACCTCGCACATGGTTTACATTCTGTCGGATCGGTGACACGATACCAATTACAGTTCAAGGATTGGGTTAATAGAATTGAAATAAGGTCATAGACTTTTTTCAAACGGTATACGTCAAAAGATCGGTGACAATACTATTTTATTAAATTAAAAAAAGCAATCTTCAAAGTAGATGAAACAGTTGTTACTGATTAAGCTTAGTTTACACGAGGACACAATTATGTAGCACACAGTGAGAATGGAACTCACTATTCAGTTGTAATAGATTAACTCAACAAGTTCACTAATCATTAACCCATACCGAGGCGCCTGTTATTTTCTCAGCTTAGCTTACTTTGACACAAGGTCAAAACTATGAGGCGCCCAGTGGAAAAAACCGAACTCTCTATTCAGGAATAATAGGTTAACTCAACTAGTTCATTAATCATTACCCCACACCGAGGCGCCTGTTATTTTCTCAGCTTAGCTTACTTTGACACAAGGTCAAAACTATGAGGCGCCCAGTGGGAAAAAAACCGAACTCTCTATTCAGGAGTAATAGATTAACTCAACTAGTTCCTTAATCATTACCCCACGTAGAGGCGTCAGTTATATTCTCAGCTTAGCTTCCTTTGACACAATGCCAAAAGTACGAGGTACACAGTGAAAGCCGAAATCGCTATTCAGTAGTAATAGGTTAACCAAACTAGATCACTAATCGTTATCCCACGACGAGGCGTCTTCTATATTCTCACCTTAGTTTGCATTGACAAAAAAACAAAATTATCAGACATCCAGTGAAAACCGAACTCTCTATTCAGTAGTAATAGGTTAATCCAACTAGTTCACTAATCAATACCTCACAACGAGTCGTCTATTATTTGTCTCATACTCAAAAGTATAGTACACCCCGTTTAAATCGAACTCTATTCAATTGTAAGAGTCAATCAGACTAACTCTTTAACCATAACCTCCAGGCCGAGATACCTATTTAGATGGAACAGTTATTTCGAGATTCGAACATAATTTAAAATTCATGAGCTCGCTTGATATGTCTCGATAGCTTCAAGAGTAGATCATCATGTAGGAAGCTGTGATTTTTCAGATACGGTTCATTAACTCGTTTCCATATGCTATTGATCTGGAATTGTTTGTCAGTTTTCAAATCCTCTTCCAGAAGTTTTAATTGACAAACTGACGTTGGAAAATAGTCTGTAGTAAAATTTTACATTTCTGCATGTAAAACCATAAAAATGTTCTCCTGCAACGGCATAAACAATTAACCAAATAGATTGGAAAAATGAGAACTAATGAACGGGTCTAAAGATAAACATGTGTTTATTACAAGCCGATGTAAATTCGAACCTCACTGGTGAGGGTATATAACTCTTACTTTCTACTAGACATACCTTAATTACATGGGAGAGAATTTTATATATTAAACTTTTTCTACCATATAATTCGGAATCTAAAATATATATATATATCCCAAATCGCTAATAAACAGAAAGTCAGTATTTAAATAATAAACGAATATTGCAAGCCTTAATCAAATAATGATGATCTCCAAATATGTTTTTAGATTTGCTCTCATAATTTATATTTTATTATTATTTCATTCAATAATGCTGCCTTTTTTCTCTCTTACTTTGATGACTACCAATAGGTTAACTCGATTAGTCCACCTATTTCCCCACCTCAACGCACCCGTCCCTTCGTGTTGATGAGTCATTCTAAAATCTGAAATATGCATGTAAATAGGTTAAGTTTACTATTTCTTTTAAACACTTTTTTCCTAAACTGATTTGTTTAAAAGTGAATCCAGAATATTACAAAGCATATGTTAGTTATTTTAATGTATGCTTTCATGGTTCAAATTTGAATTATGAAGCATGTTTTTAATTTTAAAAAAAGGGGGAAAAAAATTATGTCTAGTTAGTATAAAAGTAGTACAAAAGTGAATAGTCTTCGCTAATAAAAATTAGAAAAAACTAATACTTTATAGCTCATGTTTTGCGTTTGTATATATAAAAATCAGTGTGAACATATAATTTACCCACGCACGTATGAACTCTCCCAGTTGTAAATAGAAGTAGTTACTTTCCAGCAGTCAGCTTTGACAGTCGGACCGAACATTCTTGCTGTAACACTCTCGTTTGTATATTTTTGTATTACTGTTTCTGTTAATATATTTGTTTAACTCAATTCCTCTCTTTGTGTCTTTATTTCTGGCCCTAACAAAACCACAACAGTTGCTGACTGTCAGTTTTATGCCTTAAGCAATATATATTACTTTGCATAATGTGGGCTCAATTATATCGACCGCGAGAAACTTACGGTAAGAGGTGAAGGGAGAAACAAATTTTTCTTATTTTTTTTTTTTTGTTTAGGGTCAGTTATTTATAGTCCTAACCATGAATCAGTTTATTTTGTTTATCTATTTATTTTTGTATGTTTTTTAAGTTATGTATGTGTGCGTGTATGTTTTTTTTTTATCTGTTTTCTTTTTCTTTTTGCTGTTAACAGCATCGATTTTTCCGTCACAATATTATAATGATTGTATAACCTACACTGTATTCACTCTCTTTTCATCTTTTTCTTTTCTTTTTTTTTTTTTTCGTAGTTTCTCTTTGTTGAGCAATACCAACTTTACGAGTCATCCATCTTTTTTCTCACTCCTCGGTTGGAGTCGGTGTGTTGTCTCGAGAACGTTGATTTGGGTTACACAAAATTTAATGATATTGGGATTGACGGCAAAATCTAGTGTGCGACCAAATATGTATGTTGGGTACCACAGAGAAGATTGCGTAATTATTGTCTGTGTCCGTGGTAACTTTTCTTTCTTTATTTCCAAGGACTGCGTTGGGAATCAGGGCTGGAATAAGAACTCCTTTAATAAAAGGAGCAACACTGTCGATAACTCTAACAAAAGGTTTGTTGAATATAAAGAAAAACAGGTGAATAGAAAGGCTCTATTATTTACGGAAATCTCTACTTGCCGGATGGTGATTTGAGAAATCTCGTACCAACCACTTTCTTTCTGTAAAGATGATGATGTTTTTAAGCGGACAGTATCAACATAAACAAACACCAAGCTTGGGAATTCATCAAAATTCAGATGCCTCCTTTGTTTAAAATAATTAAGGTATTATATTCTGTAGGGATATACGCTTTTTGGACGGAAAGTATAATATAAGCAAAACCCCAAGCTTGGGATTTTCAGTATGAAACATGATACATTTCTTTGTTTAGGAGAATTTGGATAACTGTAATAATATACACGTTTTAGACAGATAGCATGAATGTAAACAAAACTTCGAATTTAATTTCTCAGGACCAAAAAATTCGGACAACATATTAATCATGCCTTCTTCTTATCGTATGGAAGTAGATAAGGTGGGGAATCTTGCTTTTGCTTAAGTTTACTCAATCTTGGCTAGTTAATTCTGGGTTCGATTCTCCTTGGAAATGTTCTTAAATTCATTTTATTGTTTAAAACACAATTCTTAACCCGTTTCTTTTTTCATTTTTTCTCAGTCATTCAACGTACTTTTCTGAGAATTTTAATAATTATTATGCAGTTAGTCGCCCCTCCATATCACTGTTTATGCAATTAAACGTTTAAACAACGTCAGTGACCAAAATACAATTGTATTCCGATCCGTTCGTCATCTTCAACTCTGTCTCTTTGAAATGATTTGTAAATTGCTGTCTATTTTTCGTAGGATTGTTCCCATAAACGTTTCTGAAAGCACTAGTAATTTCTTCCGTCTTCCAAATAAATTCTATCATAAAATTGATGTACTTACTTCTTTTTTGACAGGATTTATGTTTCTCTAAAGAGATCTGTTTTTTCAACTGGTCTAAACTTAACTTAAAATACTTCCAGTTCCTACAGATCATAACTTAAGTTTAAGTTTACTTTGGCTGCAAAAAATATCAAAGTACTTGCATAGTTTTCTTATAACTTGCTTTCTCCACGATCTTTTTGAATGCCTTCTCTATGCCTCCCAGCTGTTTCTCTAAGATTTCCAGTGTCACTCTGATTCTCCTTTGATCCTTTTAATCATGTCAAAACAACGCATTTTCAGTCGGAATATTGTTTTGGCGGATCGAAGAAATCACTGGGATTAAAATCAGATGAAGTGCGAAACAGGGAATGAGTACCACATGTTTTGCAAATCAGAAACTGTCAAACAATGTCTGATGCGTATGCGGTTGTATTGTCACAGTGGGGAGATCAATCGTCTGTCTTTCAATTGTGCCGTTCCAGGGAAAATTTGTTTGGAATCTTAGATGTGAAAATAATCAATGAACATAGAATTGGCATTGCTGTTAACTTTCGTTAGTGAATTCCATGATGACAACTGCTGCGTTTTCTGAAAAAAAAATCCGTTATCTTGGACAAAACGAGAGAAAATTAGTAAAAGTCTAATACGTAAAACCAGCTGATAGATAGATAGATAGATAGATAGATAGATAGATAGATAGATAGATAGATAGATAGATAGATAGATATGAATAGTGTGGGCATAGAAATCAAACTACATGGAGACTGTCAATTACATACCATGTGATCATCAACAATGTATAACTCTTTTTTGTGTGGGTCTCTATATCAGCTGCTGGAAGATTATGGGAAAGAGACGGAGAGAAAACCATTTTTAAATTTTTTGTTTAGGTTCCTGACATTGAGTTTATGCCTTTTATTTATTTATTTTATTTTATTATACATTTTTTTTACTTTATTTACTTGTTAATTCATTTTATTTTAATTTATTGTTCATATTCTGTATACTTTATTCAGTTCTAAAGTTTGGTATTTGTCATAAACATTATTAGATATAAGTTATGTATTAGTTGTTTCGTCTCCGGAGTCGTGGTGTAGCTGTAACTAGTGTAGTAGGCATTTGTTTTCGTCTGTGCATTCAGAAATTAGCTCAGCTCTTTTGTTTATGAGTTTATAATGTTCTGGAAAGGTGATTATTGCTATTTTCTTCTCTCAGCAAGGTTTCCTTGTTTTGAGGATTTGTTGTAAGCTAATGCTATTTTCCTTATTTTCCATGTTATTTTTGGTGTGTTTTAGCTTGTATATTTTTAGAGTGATGCGTTATTTGCATATTGTTCCTGCTAAATGTTGCTTTCTGTTGAAAGCTTTCTTGTTTCCAGGTACATTCATTTATTCTCATTCATATTTTTGGGTTTTACCGCTTGGTATATTACGTTTCTTTTAACAACTTCAAAAAAGAAAATTCATGTATGTCGTTATTTTTAGCATGGTAAGCTAATTTTCACTTAAACATCGTGCAATTAGCTTTAGATCATTCGACTATACCAACAGTATTGGAACTTCACTATATACGCTATGTCAGATTTCGAGAGAAGTTCATTGTATTTTAAGTAAGATGTTTAATAGTTGCTGTGTCGTATGAAATATGCAACCTCATAAAAGAAACAAGATGTTGTAAAGGTGTTGGAAATTTACATCAAATTGCAGAACAAAACAATCAAAAAAAGAAATTGAAAACTTTAGCAAAATAAGAACAAAAAATATTCGATTTTAGAATTTCACAAAAAGAGATTTGATAAAAATTAAAAGGGTAATAAGCAAGAATAGTAAATTGGCTAACAATAAAGTATTAAAGAAACTTGCATTGCGAATGTGAGCAGAAAAATATGTAGAATATCAAGAAAATTGGTTACAAGCATCAAAGTAACCAAACTACCACCTTTAAACATTACAAATAAAACCATCTTAGTGATGATAGAGCTATGTTGAATGGTTGGGCTACAGATTAGGTCATTCATGTAAATAGTCAATCAACACAAGTTAGAAGATGGAATAATGTTTTGAGCTACTATCTTAGGCAGTACATTATAGGTCTCATCAAAGTTGATGATGTTATCAAGATAAATACATAGAATTATCGTAAGTTCTTGAACAATTTATTTTTTAATAGTACATGTCACAACTAAGAGGTTTTAAGCTAAAGAGTATACTCATGCAAGATAACGTTTCTTCATATTTTGCAAAGCTGACTACTGCCAACTTTGGCAAAAGAGAACCAAATTAATGGAATAACTCCCAGTCTCTTCAGGTAATAATCCAACAGAAAACCTGTTATAATTTCAAAGAGATGTCTATAAGAAATCAGAAAAAACAGAATGGTATGGTATGCGCGCAATACTAAATGCCCATTGCTTAATATATTAAGTGACTTTCCATGCAATGATTTGTTGATTGATTTGTTTTTTCTTTACGGATTATCAACTTTTTATGGGTTTTTTAAAGTCGAAACATTTTGGATTGTAAGAATAAGTAACTTTTGCGTGCGAATATTACCATAACAATTATTTTGAGAATACCAGATATAAATCCTTCTATTTAACTTACAGCTTGGGAAAATATTTAAATTCATACCTTTCTCAAGAGTATTTGCACAAACCCAACTCAAATTCGAAATCGGCTCTCCAATTTCTCCTTTTGAACCGCTGTCCATTGCACCAACCGTACGTCCACTTCCAGTGCAAACGGTAGACTGTGTTAAATTTGTTTTTAGTCCATTCATTTGAATATCAAACATTAAAAACAGAAGAAAGTCAAACACTGTCAAGCTGGAGATTTAAAAATATAATGAAGATTTTATGCAACCTGAGAAGAAA